TTAACTACACTAAATTCACGATCACGATCACGGTCACGGTTACGATCACGCGTGATCGTGATCGTGCGTGATTAGAATTTTTTTTCGTGATCGTGATCGTGATCGCGATCAAAAATATCAATCACGCAGTACACTAGTCAAAAGAGGTTGATCTTAAATTGTTCTGAATAATATGTAAATATATTTGTACCTTCGGATCATTTTCATCTTCTTTATCCTATATAAAAAAAAAATAAACTAAGATAAATAAATATTGAAAATTTGAATACTTGAAGAGTTTCACAAGTAATTGTCCATGGACATTGAACAATTCCACGTTCATCAATAATTGGTTCAATTAATGGTTCCCATGCAAGTAAATGATCATTAAATAAAGCTAATTCAAGTTGAACTGACGAATTTACAAGAATCTATATTATAAAATCTAATAAATATTTTTAATACAATTATAAAATTTTACATCGGTAGACCAATTTTCAATTTGAGCAAATATATTTGATAAACAAAGCGCAACAACTGGTCTTGTTGCATCACCTTTACCAAGTTCAAGTTGAATTTGAATTATTTTTAAATTAACAATTAACTAAAAAATATTGAATAAAAAAAAAAGTGAAAAGATAATGTTTTTGTTTTACTTCTTGAGAAAGATTTTGATATTTTTGAATAGATTTTTCTTTTTCTTTTTGTTTTAATTCGTTTTTCTTTTGTGACGGTAAACCTGTTGTTATTTCTAATAAATCTAAATCTTCCATTAATTCTTTTTTTTCTTCAGAATCTTTTTAAAATGTATAATAAAGAAAAAATTTCTTCAAAAAATATCATCTCATACTTTGAATAAACCAAAAAGTTGAATCTTTAAATGGTTTTGGATCAAATATTGATTTTGAATTTATTTTCTCTTTTTCTTCTTTTGGATGAACTTGTTCTTGTTTTTTATTAATTGAACTTGATAAATGAGCAAATGTTTTAATAAGTGCTGGATCAATATTAATAGTTAAATCTCCAATATTTAAATCGATTTTTTGTTCATCAGAATTCATCATAATCATTGCATTTATTTCAGAACGTTTTAAAATCTTTTAAAAAAGAAATTTTTTAGAAAAATCTTATAGAAATTGAAATAAAATTTCATACGGAATATTTCATTTTTGAATCTTTTAATTGTTGAAAATTTGAACCATAAAAAGCTAAATCTTTTATTGAAGATGAAATTTTTGTATCATCACCATTATTGATCAATTGCATTAAGAATGAAAACTTTATTTACATTTTTTACTTTTAAAAATATTTATGTTTTAAAGTTCGACTTACATTAAGTACAAGACAATTCGAATTATTATTATTTTGATCTTCAAATAATATTAATTGTGATGGTTTAACTTCGATTTTCACATTTGTATCAACATCAGATCTAGCAGAATGTTTTCGTCGAGCTAATTAAATCATTATTTTTTATTCCCTCAGAGAAAAAAAAAGTAAACTGTTACATACGTTGATCATTTTCACTGGTTGTCAATAAAGAAGATCTTTGGTGATCTAATGATTTATATTGTGATACTGATTTAGCTGGAGATGGAAGACTTAATTGACGATCATTTAATCCCATCAATTTATTAGGTATTGTTTCATCATCAGATGGAATTACATAAGTGAAAAATTCTTTCATGGAAATTATCATATCTGCACTTATCAATATATGAAAACTTTCCATTTCACCATTAACTAATTAAAACATATTTAAATACATCAATTTTATCAAAAAATAGTTTCTCATTATAAAACAAATCAGAAATGCATCAAATATGACAGAAGATCAAGAATATACTAAAAAGACACTCTAGATGATTATTCAATTATTACATCGAAAGAAAATCGATCATTCCATCTATTTTAAAGTCTTTTCTAAATTCTCTTGTCTTTTCAATTTTTAAGTGAACTAAGTCACGATTCATGTACAAAGTCAGCTATAATTCATTCCAAAATAGAGTCTTTAAAGAATTTTCGAAAAGTTTTTTTATTGAAATATAATAGACACTTGTAAGCATCGCGTGCGTAAAGACACCTAATCGATGCCATCACGTTGTGTGAATATCAGAAGCTTATTATATGCACACTAATCACAATTAACTCAGTACCCAATAGGTTTGTATCCAGTTAACCAGTAACTACTACGGCAATATTTACGAACAAAATAAATGTTTTTGAAGATGAGGCTGAGGACGATAACATCCATACAGAGCGCAACGACTGAATGAGAGTGAAGGCAAAGCGTACACGCAGGGCGCACTCCCTAAAAGAGGATGAGGACAGAAATACACAGAAAAAAGCAAGCAAGACCTGGTAGATCATGGTAGGCTATGTCTTAGTAAAGTTTGTGATACCTACTAAACCTATATGTATATCTTGGCAAGTTTCACAGGCAAATCTTTTCTTAAAACCATATCATTTGCCTCGTGCACTCTTTTAGGCATAGGTTTCGGCGCGGTAGTACCACATGCGCGGAAATGTCGGTGAACCCTACCGACAGGCACCTGCAGATAAAATATTAAACTCAAATAGCCGAAGAAAAAAAATGTAGAAGACTTACTTAAATGAATGCACAAAAATCAATATACTTTAGTGGATGGAAGGTACGATCCTTTTATCATTACGCATAAGTTAGGTAATAATGGTAACATTACATTCAGAGAAAAGTATCGGCTAACTGACAGTGTTTTGGAGGCGATAGAAAAGAAATTATCGGGTTATTTAAATCGACAAAATTATCGTGCTATGTCAGAAGAAAAGAAATAAGTAACCTATAGAAA